TCTCATCTCAGGACACGGCTTTCCGCACCCCGAGCAGAGCGCTGGACCCACAGCCGGCTCGGTGGACAAAAGTGAGGTGCAGTGGGCATGCCCAGTCACCAGGAGGCAGGAAGGAGATGTCCTGGGTCACCGGCGGCCCCATCAGGGTCCCCGAGTGACCAGTGCGTAGAAGTCTACTGAGCTGCACCGGGAAGGCGGCAGCTTGGAGGGCAGAGAGGAAGCTTCTTCCCTTTTCTGTGGCTGCAAACCCTGCTGAGAGCAGCTGAGTCCCCAGGGCAGCCTGGAGGAGGGGGCTCTGCGGGACTGTCCGCTGGACCCCACCCACCCCAGAGAAGCCACAGGAGCCAGGAGGGTCCAGGGAGAGGCAGGACCCAAGGCTGACCGACCACCTGTCACCCCCACATAGGGCTCACGTCCCAGACCAGGAATCCATCTCGGTCCCTGTGCCGCCTGCACACACGTCCCTCTTAAAATGTTTCATGGCCTGGTGGAACCTCCCCTGCTGATCCACTTAGCTTTGCCCGGCTTTCACTGCCCGGCAGCTTATGCAAGTAGGTTTCTCTCTGAAGAGGGAAGCTTTGCAGGGGGACATGCAGTGGGAGAGTGGGCAGGGCAGGCAGTGGGGTGGACATGGGAGGGGGCATCGATCCGCCGGGAGCCTCGAGGGGGAAAATGATGGAGAAATGCAAAGCCTGCTACATGCACCCCCATCACAGATGGACACCATGGACACTGGGCAGCAGGACACGGCAAAGGAGAGCTGGGCTGTTGTGCAAATCCCCAGGGAGCATGAAAGGCCGTCAGGGGAGAACTGCATCTCTGTGGGACTCTGCTCACAGGCTCGACCTCCCCCCGTGGACAAAGGACATTAGCAGAGGGTGGACATTAGCAGTCAGACACCCGAGTGGAAGAGAAAGCGCTTGGTGAAGGTACCAAGGAGTTTAGCCGTGTACGAGGCCACCGTTGGTGGACAGGATCAGGGTGTCCGCACATCATGAGCTCCTAAGAATGACAGAGGACCCCCCTGAAGGGAGCTGGTGAGGGCTGAGTGCCTCCCGGCTGCACAGCCGGGTCTGGCCGAACTGCAGTCTCTGCAAGGGCTGGAGACGTAACCGGGTAGAAAAATAATCCGAAACCCGCGTGTCGAGATCCTTTCCGTGATTTCAAATCACAGGTGTGTTTTTATTCTTTTTCGTTAAGGTGCTTCAGTGTGGGGGGAGGAACCAGGTAGACATTAGCATCCTGGACCTGGCCAGCGACTGGGGTGGTTTCTCTGGGTCACCAGGGGTATTGAGACCAAGTAAACGGTCCGGTGAGAACCGCCCATATTAAAAAAGTCGGCAACAATAAATGCTGGTGAGGATGTGGAGAAAAAGGAGGCTCTGACGTCGCTGGGGGGAATGAGAGCTGGTCCCGCCGCGATGCGGAGCTGTGTGCAGGTTCCTCAAATTACTAAAAATGGAGCTACCCTAGGACCCAGCAATTCCACTCCTAGGAATCGACCCACAGGGCACAAGAACACTAATTCGAAAGGAAACGTGCACCCCTGTGCTTACTGCAGCTCTATTTACAACAGCCGGGATACAGAAGCAACCGAAATGCCCCAAAATATACAGATGGATCAAGAAGATTGGGTCTGTGTGCACAACGGAATACTACGCAGCTGTGACAAAGGTAAGCTCATGCCATTGACAGCAGCTGGAAGGGATGACGCCAAGGAAAATAAGTCACAGGGAAAAAGAAAAACAGCAGATGGTTTCACTTATATGAGGAAAACAGGGAAACCGAATCATGAGTCAGAGGAAAAAAAGGCAAAATTAGCAGGAAAATTATAGATCTGAGGCACCCAGCTGGGTAGGGGGAGGGAGCGGGTCAAAACAGGGTAGGGGAGAGTGCAAGGGGTGGTGGTGAAGGCCACAGCTGTGGTGTGGGGAGATTTATGGGGTATCCAACTAAGGGTGGACATCAAATACTGTGCAACAATGAACGGTGATGTAAGAAAACATTAAAAATATAAACTAAGACCACGGGCACGGATATAACCGCGGGCATTGGACAAGCGGGAAAGTCACAAACAAACCCCTGTGAACACCTGCAGGGTCTTCACGACGTGTGTTCAACAGCCTCGCCGAGGCGGCCCCTCCGGCACGCCCTGGGGAACAGTGTCAGGAAAATTCACCAGCAAAAAAGTCTCTCCGAAGACGGCACATCCCGACAGAACCCGAAGACACAGGATTTTCCATCTCGATTTCTCCTCCCCAGTGCCCGCCTTTTCACCGCCCCCCAAGACACCTTGTTCACCCTCTTTCTGGAGTCGAAACAGCATCTGACGCCTCCTCCAAAAATAAGCACGTCCGCAGGAAGGAGAATGGCCGCCCCATAGGCACTGCCCTTTCCACCAGAAAGAAAGGCCACATGGTTCAACCTTTGGCTGCCAGCACAGCGACTGTATCCAAGTCCCTCCTCACCAACACTTTTCTGAGTATCTGGGCGCCTGGACTTAAAAATGTCTCCTCTGTGGTCATCGTGCTTCCCTGCAAGGGACGACACAGGGAGGCTGGGCAGGGAGACGGCCAAGGGCGGTGGCGCAAGATCAACAGAGACACACTGACACGACTCCATCACCAGAATCAACGATGTTGGCACCGTCCTCTGCGTCCCATCAAGGGGGTGTGTGGGCTCCTTGGCACTGCCCAGCGCGCACGCTGGAATGTAAATAGAACTGCCCAGAGACACTCACCACCCCTGGGCGCTCCCTCACCGCTCCCTGGGCCTTCCTTTTCAAAGGACCATCTCCAAGGCTGATTCCTTCCCAATGAGGAGAGGTGGAAAAGCACGTGCTTTGGGGGGGCAGATGACGGCGTGCACCCACATTTCCACACTGCTTTTCCAGATCGGGGATTCACCAACAGGGGAGACCGGTCAGAAATCGCCATGGAGGGGCCTCCCCGGTGGCGCAGCGGTTGAGCGCTGGGTTGCGAAGCTGCCCGCGGCCTCTGCGGCGCTAATTCGATCCCCGGCTGCTCCCCGGCCACCGGAGGAGGGTCCCGCATGGCGCGCAGACCTCTCCTGCCGCCCGCTGCTCCCCTCAGCAGTGTCCTTCGGTCCTCCTGCCTGCTCTGCTCCCCGCTCTGGCTCTGGTGAATTCTCTCACCCTCCCGCGCTTCTGACTGTACCCAGTGCTTGTATAAACCAAACAAACAAACAAATAATAAATAAATAAATAAGACATGCCTCTAGAAAATTAAAAAAAAAAAAAAAAAAAAAAGAAATCGCTATGGAGAGGTGCTGAGTCCAGATCAGTTTTTAGGGGGGTGAAGGTCTTTTGAAACCTAACCTTTTGGGGCTGTGCGCGCATCGGGGACACTGTGGGGTCGCGCAGGGTGGGGCTCAGGGGCGCAGCGCTCCGTGGTGAGGGGTGCGCCGTGCGCCCCCTGCGCCCTGCATCCCTGCGCGCCCTTCCGCCCTGCGCCCCATGCGCTCCCTGCGCCCCATGCGCTCCCTGCGCCCCATGCGCTCCCTGCGCGCCCTGCAGCCGTGCGCCCCGTGCCCCCTGCGCCCCTGCGCCCCCTGCGCTCCCTGCGCCCCGCGCACCCCAAGCCACTGCGCGCCCTTCCACCCTGCGCCCCATGCGCCCCCTGCGCCCCCTGCGTCCCCTGCGCCCCGCGCCGCCGCCTGGCACCAGCTCCAACTCCCACACAGTGCGCTCTTTCAGAGCCTCTGTGCAGGGGCCTTCCTGCTGGTTTCCTCTCTCACCTCTTTGTCAGAATGGGCCTTTTGTCAAAGATCAAGGGGCCCACTTCCTGCTCCAAACACTAGCGGCCACAGCCTCCAGCCAAAAACCGCTGCAAAATACTCAGAGGCGCACAGGCCTCCCCAGGCGGAACCAACGACGAGCCCCCCCAGCCCCCCACCCGCCCCCAGATTGGCTCCAGGAACCCGGCAAAGAAGAAAAAGGCATAAAGCCCCGATGAGGGGGTCTTAACTCTGCGGCTTTGGGTTTTCTTTCACGTAAAAACCAACAGGAATTTCGAGGACCTGCTCCCCAAAGCGCACGTTTGCCAACACGCGTTTCTGCAACTCAGCAGCCCCCTCCAGGCGCGCACCGGCCCTGGGATCTTGGATAGGTTAGGATTTTCAGGGGAACGGGGAAAAAAAAGATTCAATATATGCTTCCGATTCCAGGCTGGGCGTCAGATGTCCTGGGGGGTATTTGCGCATCTGGAGAAAAGCTTTCCTGCCTCCTGTCTTGCTAGACAATCCCTGTTACTTGCCTTTGTGTATTTTCCATCCCACACTGGTCACCGCACTGGTCACCACACCGTTTTAACCCACGTCTGCCTGCACGGGAGAGCTGGGCCCAGAACTGCATTCCGGGGTGTCGCCAGCACAGGGAGAACCCGAGAAGGGGCCCGAGGCCGTCACCCCACTGTAGGTTCTCTCGCTGCACCACTGGGGAGAAATGCAAAGCAGCCAAACCATGGCGTGACCGACTCTCACGTCCTCGCAAGAGTCCCCTGAACGTGCGTCTTGAACCAGAAACTCCAACATCCCGGGGACGGCCGCGTCCCGCAGGCGGACAGCAGCGCAGCGGCCTTCCCTGCCGTCCGGCCATCGCCAGGCCAGCACGAGGATGGACACGGAGCTCAGCTCAACGGTCCAGCGCCGGCTGTCGCCAAACCAGCCGCCCTCAGCGTGCGCACAACTCGCGGGTACCCCCAAGACCGCTCCGTCTCCAGAGCCACGCGGGCCGCCGAGCGCCAGCCGGGTGGCTCCATCACATTTCATTTAACTCGATGACCTCGCAGGCCAGTTGGGTAAAGAGTCAGTGGGGGACCCCAAGCCAGCCGGCGGGGTGACAGGGCTGTCGGGAAAGGTAGCCTCGGGGAGGAGCAGACTCTGTGGCCGGGAGAGACGGATGCCCGGCGGGGAAGCCCTCGCCCAGGGCCGCACCCCGCCCGTGAGGCCCCCAGCCCCGCAGACGCCCCGGGGTCACCTACCTAGGATGCCCAGGCGGTAGTTGATGGTGATGACGATGACGTTGCCGTAGCTGGCCAGGATGCTGCCGTCGATCATGTTCCCGGTGCCCTCCATGTAGGAGCCCCCGTGGATGTAAACCATGACCGGCTTCCGGCTGTTCTGCTCGTGGATGTCTGCAAGACAAGCCGGTGAGAGACGGCAGTAAAGGACCGGGCTGCTGAGCGGCGGGCGTCCTGCTGAGCCCAGGACACGCTGGGCTCCCGCCCCCATGCCCAGAGGTCAGCTGGGAAGGACGGGCGGGGGCGTGACGGGGGGCGTGCGTGTCTGTCAGGGCAAACGCTCGTGGCCAACGGGCTCCCCGAGGGCTGGCTGGACGTCAGGACATGTGGGGACCGCCAAGTGCATTTCTCCCATCATCTAAGTGTCCAGCAGCTCCCAGGATGGAGCTTATTGCTCCTGGGATGGTCCCCTGGATCCCCAAGAACTGGCTGGACTTCAGGACACATGGGGACTGTCCCCAAGTGCATCTAAGTGTCCAGACAGCTCCCAGGATGGAGTATATTGTGCCTGGGCCATCCTCTGGATCCCCGAGGGCTGGCTGGACGTCAGGACACGTGGGGACTGTCATCAAGTGCATCTGAGTGTCCAGCAGCTCCCAGGATGGAGTTTATTGTGCCTGGGCTGGCCTCTGGAGCCCCGAGGGCTGGCTGGACGTCAGGACACGTGGGGACTGTCATCAAGTGCATCTGAGTGTCCAGCAGCTCCCAGGATGGAGTTTATTGTTCCTGGGACTGTCCCCTGGATCCGCAAGAGCTGTCTGGACTTGAAGACACGTGGGGGCCGTCACCACATGCATCTAAGTGTCCAGCAGCTCCCAGGATGCAGTTTATTGCTCCTGTGACCGTCCCCTGGACCCCTGAGAGCTGGCTGGACATCAGGACATGTGGGGACCACCACTAAGCACATCTCAGTGTCCAAGAAGCTCCTGAGATGGACTACACTGCACCTGGGACCGTCCCCTGGACCCCTGAGAGCTGGCTGGACATCAGGACACGTGGGGACCATCGCCAAGTGCATCTAAGTGTCCAAGAAGCTCCCAAGATGGATTATATTGCCCTGGGACCGTCCCCTGCAACCCCGAGGGCTGGCTGGACGTCAGGACACGTGGGGACCACCACCAGGTGCATCTAAATGTCCAAGCAGCTCCCAGGATGAGTTCATTGCTCGTGGGACTGTCCCCTGGGGCCTGAGGTGAGTGTTTTCCCCAGGACAGGCACAGGCAGAGGCGGGAAGGAAGACTCGGGACAGATGGTTCAGAATTACGCACTCAAAGGTGTGAAAATGAAACCAAAATGGAAAAAAAAAAAATGTCCCAGGCAGCCGCGGCCGGGATCTGACCCCGGGAGGTGGAAGAGACAGACGAGAGGATGAAAAACGCGGCAGAAGGTCCCCACCGCAGGGGCCTGATCTCCGTCCCCACCTGCCACCCAAGGGCCCCTCGGGCATCACTGAGCTACTTGAACGATGATGTAAAAACTGCCGTCACGTCCTGGAAATGGAAGCCGGAGCCCCCATCCGTCCGGCCGTCCGGCCGGCATTTGGGAAACATTACGTCGAAATAGGGCTTCTGTACGGTCGAGTGTCAGGCTCACTCTGAGGAAAACAGGCCTCCGGGGGGCTCCTTCCGGGGACAGTTCTAGGAACCTGCATGACCAGCGTGTCCGGGCACAGGTGGCCTTGAGGGTCGGGCCCTCCCTGGGCAGAGACAGGGCCAGACGCAGGCTGGTCACTCCAGTCTGTGGGTGCTTAGAGCAATCAAACGGGCCCAGGACTATGTTTTTCTTGCTTTCTTTTCTAAATTTATTTCTGCATAAAAACTGGGGTGCAGGCCTGAGCTGTGGGGGGTGAGAGGATTCAGCAGAGACAGTGGGGAGCAGAGCAGGTGCATGTACCGAAATCCACTGCTGAGGGGAGCAGCGGGAGACAGGAGAGGCCTGCTGTGCCCCGTGGGTCAGCTCCCTGGCCGGGGATCGAACTCGGGCCGCAGCGGTGACAGCCTGAGACTCCCCCCCGAGGCCACCAGGGAGGCCCCTTTAATGCTTTCTTCAATAAGGACTTTTTTGCCCATTTTCTGGGCTGGAACAAATTTTAACGAAGGGAGACCCCTTGCTGGCGTGGTTTTCCCTAGAGCCAAGGAGACCCCAACTTCAGACGGGCTCACGGGGTCGGCTCCCCAAAGCCGCAGGCTCTTGCTCATGATCATTACTAATTCATTATAACTGGCTATTAAATCTGGGGGTGATCCATGGCGTTATGTCTCATCACAGTCCACCTGCAAGTTCGCCTCGACGGCTACCACAACGGGCTGCGGCGTTTCCGCGCCGCACTCTCTCCCCGTCCTGGATTTGCTGCTTTTGTCCCTACGGTTACGCCAGAGGAGGTGCCGGGGACGTCCTCGGAGAGCTTTTAGGGGCTGCTCCGGGGACACGGGAGGGTGTCGTGTCTTCCCGTCTTAACCCAAAGGAGTTTGAGAAGCAAAACCGCAGGCCGCTGTGTCCCAGGCGCCCAGGACGGTGTTTTCACGGGGAGAGAGGAAGTAAATTTGAAAGAGAGCTGGCAGGAGGCAGTGCTCCCCAAGATGGAGGGGAGCAGGGTTCAGTTATAGGCTTAGTTTCTCGCTAGTGTCAAAAGGCAGGTGTCCTGGGGGATCCCCAAAAAAGGAAGGAGATGAGAAGAGTCTGTCACCCTCCCCAGAGCACAGTCAGGGCCATCGTGAGGGGTCGGCAGGACAGCGGGGTAGGAGAAGAGAGTCAGTCAGGCAGCTCTGGGGACCCCTGGGTGCCCCACCCGGAACCCAGGGGGTTCTCTGTCCAGAGCATCCTGCACCAGGGGGACAACTGAGCCTCTTTCTGGCCCGTCACGCGCCCGGGACTGGGGGGTCCATCAAGAAGAAACGTCTCAAAGCAGCGAAACATGGGCGGGAGGGCGAATGTCGTGCAAACGGCCGGGGCTTGAGAAGGAACACAGTCAGGGGGAGCTGGGCCATCTCCTACGCGGGGACCCCCTCATTAGCGTTCTCGTGAAGGGCAAGGGAAGGCATCTGCGACTGTGTGGTCTGAGGCCCTTTGCAGGCCCCAGAGCGTGAGCCAGACAGAGAGTGACTCAGCAGCCTCGTCTGGGGTCGGTGTGTTTGCAGGGGATCCCCAGGGCCTACGGGGAACGCCAGCCCCCCAGGAGTGCCCCCGGCCGGCGGGCGCGGCGTTGCCGTCTGCAGAGAGAACGCAGAGGCCCCGGGCCGCAGGCCGAGCAGACAGCGTGAGCTCCCAGCGTGGCATTCGGAAGGGAAGACATCACCCATGCACGGCTGACAACTCCACTTTCTCTTCTTGCCACCGAGCCCCAAAAATAAAAAAGGAACAAAAAGAAAAAGGAAAAAGGTGAACCCGCTGGCCGGTGAGATGGGGTTACTCAAGTCAGGTCGAGAGGCGTTTCGGTCTGTCCCCGCGGGGATCTGTATCATGGACACAGGGGTGGGTTTAGATTCAAAAACAAAACCAAAACCACAGCGGTTTGCAAGGAAAAGGGAGCACAGCGCGGTGTGCTCGGTTCAGAGAAGGGAGGAAAAAGAGGTTGAAATGAAGAAAAAAAACAAAAATAGAGAGAGAGGGATCATGCATCAGGGTCGAGCTTGGAAAAAGCCAAAAAATACCTTCGTCTTCACCACGGTCATTACTGCTTATATCATCGGCATTTTTCTTTGTGTTGCCTCCTGGGGTCGAATTGAGAAGAAAATAAAGGGGGAAAAAAGAGAATTCAAAAACAGCAGGTTTGCAAAAAAAAAAAAAAAAAAAAAAAAAACCAGAAGAGAGATTCTACCCAAAGAAAAAAAAAAAAAAAAGTCACCCAAAAAGTTGACATCCGTCCCATCTGGAGTTCCAAAAACATGAGAAGGGCAGGCGATGCAAAATGCAAACTAAGAGGGAGATGTCCGGATGCAAATGTTACTTGCCGGAAACATGAGCTACCCTGTGGGGATGCGGCTGGGGACGGGGTTAACATGGCTCGACTGCCCCAAAAAAGAAGAAAAAAGAACCAAAAAAACAAGCGAATGTGATTTTCAAAAGAAGAAAATTAAATCGTTGAAAAAGGTTTCCCAGATTCTTAAAATAAACGTGTATGAGGCGGTCACGGCTTCGAGCCCTACCCATTCACATCCAGATCACCCTGTGACATGTCTACACTGGCCGGGAGGAGACGGTACGATGCACACGGAACACACTTAGACCATAAACATGGAAGGGGGATCATCCAATGGTCTGAATATTGACATTCGTTTCATGCACCGGAACCGAAAAACACAGAGTTTCAAACAACACAAGCGTCGGGAATTTAAATCCTGCAGATTCCCCTTCACGGGTGGTTTGCGGACGTTTTGTCTCGTCTTTTTTTTTTTTTTTTTTTATTTATTTTTTTCTATCATGGTTCATTTTTCAACAATATTTGTCTTGTTTCCAATCCACAAAGACTACCACGTCCAATCAGGATCTATGGAGTCAACATCGAACATGCTAAGGCGTGTTTTCCGTGCTTGAAACACCTGTCAGATATTACTGGCATGTTACTGTCACTGGAGTTTGTAAATAAAAATGAGAATGGGACCACCTACCTTTAGCCCCTGAAACAGAGGCCACACAGGACATTCCACATAGCAAAGGCAAGGGAGGCTCCCTAGGCCACGGCAAACGCCGCTATGTTCTCTTCGGGAGGGCGCCATTTTGTTTTTTCCCATTTTCCAGCTACCAAGAGGCCCCAACACATTCCTTATCCCTTGGGTTGCTGACTTACTCTTACTTAATCGGCTCAAGAGTCTTCTAGAAAGACAGACACACCCCAGGGATGACGTCTCAGCTGTGAAAACGGCTCAATCTGTTGGATCGTTCTGTGCCTCCCTATGGGGAGGCAGGTAGACTGGAGAGCACAGAGCTCGCTGGCCGGCGTGTCTGAAGAACATTCCTCACTTGTCCCGAACTCAACGGGGCTTCTCCGTGCTTGGAGGGCAAGACTTGAACTTGTTTTCTTCGTAGATCCAACATGGGCTGACGCGCGGTGCGTTTCACGTGGCTCAACGTGTTCTCACAAGCAGATGCTGGGAGGTGGGAGACTCGACTCATAGCATTTGTTGAATTTTCAAGCGAGGAGCACGGGAAGAGGTGCCTGGAGCCTGGGCACGCCCAGGTAGGGGCAGTTTCACTTAATTTACCTCCAGGCAGGGTTGGGTCTTGTAGGAAGCGTTGAGTTCTCCTGACGGCACATTTAGTTTAAATGCTAAATAGGATGAGGCTGCCGAGCTGGCTGGTATCCGATGAGAGTCATCAGCTTGTATCATAATTTGCTGGTGTCCAAGAATCTGACAGCGTTTAGCTATCTTTAGCAAAACTGAATTAATCTCCGAGAGATCCGTCTTGTAGGTGCGCATTGTCTGGTTGACCAGGAGAACGCGCACTTCACAGCCACCTGGCGGGGGACACTGATGACTCAATTGCATTAAGAAGCCAGAAAGGGCTTCCTTTGTTGGAGAAATTCACCATGTGGATGATGTACTAAACCATTTCTGTTACAAATCGAGGCTTTCTCATGTCTGGGTGGGGGTGGGGGTGGGGATTCTACGCCTTCACGGAAGGTTCTGTGTAGAACTCACTACAGAAGCAAGACCAGGGCCTCCTGTGGCGACAGCACGGAGAGTTCTCAAATATTAACAAGCAGGTCTGCCACGCGACCCAGCCATTCTCTCCCCAGCTGTCTCCCGAAGAAGGCAGCGCCATCCACAACAGCCAGGGTGTGGGGAGGAGCCGGCCTGGGCATGGTTCGTCCCTGATGAAATTTTAAATATAATCTGATAAATATTTCAACATCCTGCGTCATCCACCATAGCTCTTGCTCATTCTCTCTCCCGTGTCTATCCACCCATTTAGTATCTGTCTACCAATCAGTTATTCTACCCCCGTCATGTCTGTGACTGTATCATCTATCTATGATCTATGTATGTATATTTGTATCTAAATAGCTATCGAACACCTAGGTATTTCTATCAATTTTATCTATGTATTTCTATCTATCCTCCTATACATACATCCACCACCCATCCCTCATCCATCCATCCTCTTATCCTGCCCATCTACCTACTACTACCCATCATCTACTTATCCATCCAAATTTCCACCCATCCATCCTGCCGACCTACCTACTACTCATCATCTATCCATCCATCCATCCATCCATCCTCCATCCACCCATCCATCCTGCCGACCTACCGACTACTCATCTATCCACCCATCCTCCATCATCCATCCGGCCAATCTTGCATCTTCTCAAATACTTAGATGCAGCATTAAATTGAGTGATGTGATGCCAAACATCATCCCAAGAACTTTCCAGGTACGACCTCATGCGTTCCCCACAACCACCCTATAGATGGTGAGTCAGCAACATCCCCCTATCACGCCATTTATAACCTTCCTTCCAGTGACTGTGCAGGCATTTTTAAATGTCTATGTAGTGACATTTGCCACTAATTTCCTCTATAATCTCGGTTGCTGATGTCTTTTATAAAAAAAAATGATTCTTCCTTTTATCCAAAGACTGAAAATACTTGGCCATATTTTCTTTTGGTGTTTCAAAGGTCTTATTCACAGGTGAAGTATATTTGGAATTTATTTCTCTACGGATTCTGGTTCAACACACTGCCTTTATTACTGCTTTCTGTGGTGACACCATCTGTGAACCTTCTCACTAATGCGCTGCGTCAGAAGCTCCAGTAGGGTTTGCTCTTGTCTGTCTTGTCCTAATTCTAAAGATCTGAAAATTTATTTTTCTGTGCCCCATGGCTGCCTTAATTTCTCTAGTTTTAGACTGCCTGTTTATATATATATATATATATATAAATAGCTTAACATATTTATATATAATATATATAATATTTATATAATATATAATATTTAAAATATAAATAGCTTAATATATATAAATAGCTTATAAATAAATAGCTTTATATATAAATATATATATACACAGCCTTATATATTTATATATTTATAAATATATACATTTTTATATATATATATAAAGCCTCCCTGGTGGCACAGGGATTAAACACAGCTCTGTCAAGCCACCACAGCACAAGTTCGAGCCCCGGCCAGCGAGGGAGCTACCCACAGGGCGCAGCAGACCTCTCCTGACTCGCCCGCTGCCCCCATCCACAGTGGATTTCAGTTAATCCGCCTGTTCTGCTCCCCACTCTGTCTCTGGTGAATCCTCTCACCCCCGCCACCTCTGGTTTCCACCCCAGTTCTTGCATCAATAAATAAATCATTATTAAAAATAAATATGTTATATATATAAATATGTGTGTGATTATATGCATCTGCGTGTATATGACAGCTCAGGACACAGAATTCACAAAGCACACAGTGCGTCCTTTCGAAACGCGTGCATCCGTGATTCTGCACACACCGACAGATGCCATCATCAGCGCTACCCAACTGCAGAGGAGTAGATTCCTCACCCCAAGACACTGTTCCCACCACATACCCTCTCCGTTCCCCGGTCCCCGAGGCCCCACCTGCACCCACTCTGCCTGTGCAGCCAGCCGACGTCGTCTGTTCTGAGCGTGGGCGAGAGCCGCCGTGTGCTCTGGTGGGTGGTGAGAAGGCTCGTGCGCTCACACGTGTGGCCTGGCGGCCTGTGAGGAGGCCCCTCCACGGGGCTGGGGGACAAGCATCCCTGAGCCGCCAGCATCCCGTGACCTGAAAGCGGATCCAGCACGAAGACCCGCCCGCTGGGCACATGCCACTGCACCCCACACAGTCACGGGGGCCATCTGGGATGGCTGCACACACTGAGCAAACTCTAAGTGCAGCAGCGGGGCCGATGGGGTGCAGATCCCGGTGTAGCCTACTCTGGGTACCCAGCGTCCCCACCTCAGCTGCCAAGCAGCTCTTGCTTGGCGTCCACGCTCCACACATGCCCTCCCCTTCATTCTGCAATTTACACTCCATTCCCTCAGAAGGGGGTTCCCTCGTCACCCCCTTCTTTTCTAACAGGACTCCCTCTAGCACCCGCTGGAGCAAAGCTTCTCCTCTGCAGACGGAGGACTCGGGATTTAGTAACTCCCAAGATCTGGACCTGTTCGCTTGACCACCGCACCGCCAAGTCCTCGCCCGGGCCAGCCGTGCGGACAACTCAGGACGGAGAGCCCGGGTTTGTGACCCCCCAGCAGCCCGGAGCTGGCCGGGGGCTGCCACGCCTGGGGGGAGCCAGCCGCGGGGGCAGCAGCTGGTCCTCGCGGGCACAGACATGTAACGTTGCGTTCTCTGACTTGATTTTTCCAACTGCTGCGAGATAATTTATCATCCTTTCTCCAAATTAGGTTGTTTTTGAACATCCATACACAAGATTCCCGCGCCTTCATTATCTCGGGGTGTCACTGGAAGGAAATTGAAGGCAGATATTTATGCTCCGGTCCAGCCAGGTCTAATTCTCACTCTCGACCGGGTCCATCACAAAGATTCATGGCAATAATGAAAATAATTGGGTCGTGGGGGCCTATTCCCCTGCCTGCCCCTGCCTCGCTCCGGAAGGCAGGCCGAGAGCAAGACGCGGAGACTCATTTCCCGTTCTTGTTGGGCTGGAATTAGGGAGAATTGATTCCGCGCTGTCTTTGCGTGCAATCAAATAAATTTTAAAAGTTTATAGGTCCCCGAGTTATTCCTG